GCTGCAACTATTGTACCCACCACTGCACTCTGTATTCACTGGTTAACTGGGCATCATTAACTTCACGCAGACTCTCCCATTGGTACATTTCCATCTTTAAATCACGTCTCGGTCTGCTGGCTTCATACATCTCCTCCTACATGTCACTGCGTGAGTGCAGTTACAGCGTGCGCTCCCAGGACATTATTACATGCAGTGTCCCCTCTGTGAGGACTGAACTAGGCAAAAGGTCCTACTCCGCTCCTGTTTCCTGGAATATCTTGCAAAAAAGATCGGAAACTCTCAACCTTGACCTCTCTATGTGGCTTTAAACATCTGTTAAGTTCTTGGCAAAACCAATGCAGACATGTTCCTGTTTTTAGTTTCTACACCGCCTTACAATCGAGCTGTTTTTTTGCTACTTTTCCTTTTAATTATCCTTTTTATTTATTTTCACTTGTTAAAAAAAAGAAAATTTAATTTGTACGCATCCTTTATAATTGTTTATTTTTGTTGTTGTTATCCACTGATGTCATCACTCTTTGTTACAAAACAGGTCTCTTGTAAATGAGTCCCCGAGACTCACTGGGATCAACCTGTATAAATAGAAGTTGAATGAATCTTTACAGTTAGTTTGTGTTCAAGTGATGTGAAAAAAAATTGTAATGACATGAACACAGTTCTTTTTCCCACTTCTGTCGTCCTGTTTTGGTCTTCTTTTCTTGGCCGTCCTAACTTTACAGCCCCTTGATTTAAGTAAAGAAGCAGTTTTTCACCTCACCTGCAGTCCTCCGGTGTCATTTTACATTACCTCCATGACAACCATACCCCTATCAATACTGTTACTAGAGAAACATGTGTTCTTCCTTGTTTAAGTATGTATCTGTTGCTTTTGCAATAGCACAAAGTAAAATGTGTTTTACTTTTCTACTTCTTTTTTGTAATCAATTAAATATTATTTTAGTAAATTCTTGTAGTGAAACTCTGTAAGTGTGTTTTTATCTGTTCCACATTCGTCCATGCTGTATTTTAACCTATCAGGCACAAGTAGGTTGTTGGTAAGTTTAGGTACATGGAGTTATTGCTTCCAGCTTGTTCTTTTTTTTTTTAGCAGCAGTAAAAAAAAAGGATACATGCGCTCAATGCAGAATTACATGTACGGGTTGTTGTACGCTCTGACCCGTGTGACCACAGCAGTCACCATCGTTCTCTCTTCAACTTGAACATTTAGTCATTTTGAAAATAAACCAGTGTTAAAAACCTCTTTTCCCAGGCTGGCCCAATATAGCCAAGCACATATTGTACCTACAGATGTTCGTGCTTTCCATGAAGTTGATACTTATTCACCGTTTTAAGAGCTCATAATGTGATTTTTCATCCACTGCTCTGTATGTTTTTGAATGGGAGATATGCACATTCTTGTCTCTAATTGTCTCTTAGATTAAAGGAGCATCTTGGCTCTCCCTCACCAAGCTGCTGTGGCCCTAATTTGACAGAACTGGGCCACCACACATGCCCAAACACTCATATCATTCCAACCTCAACCATAAAGCCACCAAGATGCAACCACTTTACTCATCCTCTTGCATAGTCTATAATAATGGCATGGATAAGTCCAAACCGCTCTTAAAGAAACACCAAGATGTCTTTTAAAAGGACTGACTGGCCAGAAGCTGTGGAAGGTGAAGTGTTTGCAGCTTATGTTACATGATATACCCATGAAGACATAAATAAATCTTCACACAAAAACTCCCACGAGCCGCTCCCGTGCTGCTTGTGTTTGGTTGTCAGGCTACAGTTGGTGTGAGCAAGCAGTGGCAAGTACCGATAATGTCTGATGCACTTCTCTGCTTTTCATGAATGAGGTGGGATTTTGTATAAAAGGAAGAAAGCTAGCAAAGAGAGATGACAAAGGACAGAGAGAAGAAAATCAACTTAATGTTTTAAGGTGGAGAACCAGGTCATGTGGTGCCAATATGATGGTACGTTTTTTTTAAATTGATGTTTTATCACACATTGTGTTGTGAAAGTGCAAACAAGGTTGGTTTACCAGGTCATCCTCCAAGTACACTATCAACTACAAGCTGAAAAGTTGGTCTGGAGTGTGCTACTTGCTGTCCCAGACACCAAGCACACCTTTTTGATCAGCTGCCAGGTCGGCACTTCAAGACAAAGGCATCAAATTGCTGGCAAAGATCACTGAAAAACAGGTTTCCCCCTTGACATGCCTTTAAGCATTTGCAAATTTTCAAATGCTTTTGGTTGAAGCAGGTAGTTTTATTTGTAGCAAAACATGACTCCTTATTATACTCTTAGCCTTTTGAAGTCATCGAGGCGTGCATTTGTGCGTCTGCATGCACTTGTAGGATCGTCAGCCACGGCAAAAGTACAATGGTGACAACTTACTGCGACTCATTGCCATTTGATCTCCCTGTGAACTCATTTCAGAAAACAGGAAACATGAAAGTTAAAACGGCATCAGGACTGTGGGAAATTATTGATGAGTAGATGGGGGATGACTTGAGCATGCATGCATGCAAAATGTAAGTGTTTCAGACAGAAAGAGCAAAAGTTTCACTTGTTCAATGAAAGAAAAAAAGAAGTCATACTCCAGCAGTGGCTGCTTCTTTGGGGAGAAACCACAACTATGTCAGCTTAGGCTCAAGATAACATATAGACCAAAAACAGGATATTAAAAAAGGAGTTTACAACTCTCTGAGAGGCCAGTCCAGCTTTTGGTTGGTGTTTACTGCACTAACTTTCTGCAATGAAAACCAATTTAACTATAGATCATTTGAAGAGGAAATGCTGCCTTCTCATAAGAAGGTTGTACTCGTAATGCAGAGGCTTAGCATCGTGTGATGTAATCTGCATATTTATTTAAGATCACTGCTGATATGAGCTCTTAGTTGCTTAGAAGGGAAATAAAAAACTTCCTCCTTATTGTTTGAAAAGAAGGGTTGACAGGATGTCTACATGCAGTCGATGACTGTGTTAGATTTCATGAAAGATCCCAAAAAGATACTTTGAAGATGGAAAAAAAAAATACAGGCGATACTGTCAGTGTGATTTCCTTAATAGTTTTACTCTGTGATAGTTCACTCAATAAAATGCTTCTTCAATTTTTAATAAAACAGCAGAGTAGATTACAAATAAAGATTTATCCACTGATGTTTTTAGGGTGCATGCAGAATATTGCTGATTTATGTATTGTGTTCCAGATACACAAACCTCTGCTGCTAAATTTAGTCCTGTAAGCCGAGTCGTCCCTTTGAAGCTGCCTCACAGGTTTCAGGCCTCGGCAAAATCAGCTTTTTGCTCTCTCATGCGTGGATTAGTCGTACCGGCTTGATGGCTGCCTGAGCCAGACGACTGGTGACACTTTGTAGAGCATTTTCACTGCAACATGACTGCAGCAGTTCAAAGAAAGGCCACACTAGATGATTGAGCAACACAAAATATCCAAATGTACACAGCCCAACTTGAAGGGTGGAGTGTTTGCAGCTCTTGTGAAACGCACATTATTATTTTTTTTGCTTGTTTAGTATTAAATTTGGCCAGTATTCACAGGTTAAATTTGTTTAATTCAAGTGAGTCATTATTTAACTGTGAATTTTATGAAAAAAAAATGCAACTTTCCTCCTAAACTCATCAGTTTAGATGAGAAATCACACAACCAAATAATTCCATTGGAGATTACGTTCAAACAAGCAATTTCAATGATAGACATAAAATCAGGCATACACCTTTAAGGTTGATAACTTAGCAGAGAAGACAAACAGAATATATTCAGCTGCCACAACTGCTCACTTCCACCCCCTGCTTGACGCAACACCGGGTGGTGCAGAATTAATCAGCTCATTGTAACTTTCAGCAGACAGCATTCTGCTTTTACCTGTGTGGATTAAAAAAAAAAAAAAAATATATATATATATATATATATATATATATATATTTGTATTACCCCAGTTACAACATTTGCAAACCACACTGTCCATGAAACGGTAAAGCCACAAAAACTACAATATGTTGGTTTGATTAAACTTTTTTTTATAGAAACAAAGAAAACCCATTGTGACATTTTACATGAATACAAAGTTGTCTCAGCTATAAAGTCTGTGGACACGTGCTCTGTGGTCATATGGTTAAAAATAATCCCAATATAACAACAAGCAATATTCAAACATGGTTTGTTCCAATATTTTCCTTTCATTTGAATAAGTAATTTAACCAAAATGGCCAATGTTTACTTGGAAAGCAATTTTAAATTGGTTGCATTCTTTCTTGGTTTTGTTAATACACACAACTTTGTAGTTCTTATTTTTTTCTACTAATAAACTCTTCCAAATTTTACAGGTGTGGTTATATGTTTGCATTATGAGTAAACTCATTTAAAATGTGGGGAGTGCCTGCAGCACTGAAAATGCTTCAGTTTCTGAATGAATCACTGACATGCCAGTCAATTATTTGTCTTGGAAATTCAAAGGCTTTCATTAAGGAGAAAAGCATTTATTTCCAGCAACTCTGCAGCTCTGCTTTATCTTTATTTTGCCCTCTGACCATGCACTTGACATATTCACTGCAGGTGCTATTCTAGAAGAAACATTTTGAGCTATGTGAAATATTGATTCCACATGGCAATAAACAGCACAGCATATGCTTCTGACAGATCTATGTTTTCCACATGGAAGTTTCCTTCAGTTAACAATAAAAAACATTTCTCGCTCTCCTTTTTATGGCTTTTCACATCTCACAGTAAGAAATCAGACTGTCTTTTCCAAATTATCTCCCTAAAAATGTCACCTACATTTTGAGAAAATTAAATAACACCAATGATGACATTCTAGTCACAATTAGTCAAGGCGGAGGAGCCATCTTTACATTAATAGACGATCTTTGAGGGGACTAGTGTTACCTAGCAACAAGGCACAACAAGTCCCTTCCTGCTGGCGCTGACAGAAAAGACTAGCCTGGGAGCTAAAAACAAAGCGAGACTAAAACGTTGTTTTAACAAATAGAAAATGGTTAAACAAACAATACAGATATTTGGTCGCATTAAGCCCACGAAGAAAACTGTGGTGGTAAGTGAGTGACGCTTCATTCAGTTAAACACACGCACACACAAAGTTTTATTAAGCTAGCCTAAAGTTTATTTTGGCAAGAAGGCCACTTACTAGAAGCTATCTGAGTATTATGGAGTCTTGACGTTTTAATAAAAATCTTTTTGACGTGAAATAGCAGAAAACACTTGGTATTTAAAATGTAATCCACAAACAGGTTTAACCTTACACACCTGCCAAAGCCTGTTACTATTTTTTTTTTTTTTTTTTTGTTGTTGCTTTTGCCCCACAACAGACAACTTTTTTCACATTGAAAGAGATTTTGCAATTCTGGCTTGTCAGCTATGACTTTAATCACGATGGCTTCCTTCCATGAAGTGTCTTAATAAATCATCCAGGTGAATAAGATTTTACAATCCAGTTTAAGGGCCTTTGGAACTGGCATACATGAAAGGAATGCATTGGTCTTAGATTGTTTTAGTTACACCTGTGCTTTTCTTGCTATAACTTGCCTTTTTTTTTTTTTTACTGTAAAAGCAGGTTAATACCTGTTATATGTTTTCAAATTGTTTACCTTTTCGTATTTGAAAAAGGTAGCTTGTGCTTATTCTTTTGACATATCCAACTACAAAACAGTAGTAGAGTATTTTTTATCCTTTTTTCTGTTTTACTTCATATTTTTATTGCATTCTTTCTACAGATGTGTTCAATAAAAGTAACAAATAGGGATTTTTAAAAATTATATACGTCTTTGTTCAAGGTTTGGTACATGTGTAGAGAAGAAAAAACCTGTTAGTGAGGAGTGCAATGCACAGGGTGACAGTGGAAAACCAATCTAATCATTTAGGTCTTATCTTTCATTTCTGTAGCCCTAAAGACTTCTAATTACATCAGTGTCCATTGGAAACATATGCTAGAACATATGTTCAAGCTCAAAAGTGTAAAAGGGGTTGCTCAGACTGTCCGAGTCCAACTCGTTTTATATGGCCTCCAGTGCTGGAGCTGAGTGGTTATTGGTTTAATGTTCTACAATTTCCTTGTCTCCCTTGAGGCCTGGCTTTGGTTTGAATCTGCCTGCCTGCTCTGTGCACTGATCCTGATTTCATCTTTAGTTATATTGCTTTCCACAGGATATGTGCTCCATAAACTCCATCTTTTCATTTTTGGGGTGTTTTGCAATACCAAAACCACAAGTGTCCAAACCTATATTTTAAACCTAACATGATATATTTACTTTGTGTTGAAAATGGGCTGAATGTATCACTCTACATACAATAACGGCATAAAATTGGAAAACAAATATATAATAGACTACTCTTTCAAAACAGTACTTAAATGTTTATTTAGCTGCTTTAAAATGCTCCCTAAATTTAATCTTGTGGTACATGTTCTAACTTTACTTACCAGCTATTTATATTGACGGACTGAGTCTTCTGTTGCCTCTGATCCCCTCAGGTGTACTCGGTGGACAGTAAGGAGCAAACAGGTGCCTCTCTGGAGTTTGTGGTGCCGAGGGACCTGGCTGATGGCTTTGTTAATAACAAGAGGGAATGCTACAAGTTCAGGTAGATTATTTGCTAAATGTTTTTACCTGCTGTAAAACTTTCCATTCTTATCTAACTGATCCACCACCCTTGTTTTGAGTAAATTCAATACAGTTTGAAGTTACATAATATAAACACAGGATTAAAGTCTTTGTCACTGCCGGGCTTGTTTTTCCTCAAACCAGTCTCTGATTTGTCTAAACTTTAAAAGCTTGATGAAAGAAGCTGAAATTATGAGAACGATAGAAAGATATATTTCCATGTAGTCATCTGCTGTGCTTTTATTATGGAAATTACTCTTACATTAGTGTAGGGTATAAAGAATGACTTCCTTAGATTAAAGTATGGCAGATGATCTTCTCAGCACAGTAAAAGCCCTCTGTAGAAAGCTCCAATAAATAAAGACAAAGCTCAAACTTTTATCTCTTGCGGTTGCATTAGAACTTTTCACATGAATAATTCATCCACAAGTCCTGTCAGTGAAGAGCCAGAACATCTGTTTAATGTTTGAAGTAAAGGCTGCAGCCTCATATACCCTCTGTGCAGGGCCCATGCCACGCTTCTAAGCCTTAAATTCACAGAAAGTCCGACAGCAGTGGACGCTAAGAGCCTCTGAAAACCACACGGTCCTATAATAGCATGTGGAGGTTCCCCACTGCCCTTATAGCAATAAAATTTCCACATTTAACAACTTTCTTTGGGCGGATTCTGCTCACATTTCCTCGATCTTGCTGTGAGTTCAAACATGATATTGAGACTGTTTTTCAAAACACCAAAAAATTATTTGTCCTCATTCACCTATAGCGATGTTATACTTCCAAATTTTGCTTTGTTCACTTTGATTGTGAACATTTACTTTATAAGCCATGGCCAATCTGATTACCGGTAATCGCCAGATTGATGTTTTTTTTTTTTTTTTTTTTCACCACATATTTTATGATGAAATTGTCTTGGCTTTTCTCACTTGGTCTCTAGGTTCCAAAAAATATTTGACCAGCACACCAAACAAGAGGACATATTTGAAGATATTGCTAAACCAGTAGCAGAAAGGTAAAAAAAAAAAGTCACATTTTTGTTTGTTTGTTAAAATTGATTGGTGTTAAAAGTCAATTTAATTATTATTATTTTTATTATTATTAGTTTCTTTGACAGGGACAATGCACACAAACAGAATAGAACAAGTCTGTGACTGATACGTTGCACAGAGTATATAGCTGTAATTTGCAACTCCAGTCCCCAGTTGGGTATTTTTGTGCAGTAAAATACATACAATTTATCAATAAAAGTACAGTAAGAATACATACATATTCATGTAATCAACTTTACAACCTCCAAATTCATATAATAAAAATGATACATTAAAATACAAACAATTTAAAAATCTAGGTAATTGATAGAAAACATTAGTTTGCCAGCTCTGCACTTATTTAACGCACATTTTAAATGCTATTGTTGATCTTTAATTCTCAGCAACACATCTGTCACCCCACACTGAAGCCAGACCACACAAACTTTAGCCACTCTTGTTGACAGGAAGTCCGTAAAGCTCAGCTTTCTTAAAGATGGAAATGGAGGGTGTCTGTGATGTTTGGCACATTTTAAGTACTTAAACCACTAAGTGGACGGAGCTGGCAGACAAGATGGCACAGTATGCCATTCTTAGAAAATAATATTTTTAGGCCATAACGCCGAGCTTTATACTTTCTATATTTTACATATAGGCTGACTTTACATATAGCTGACAGAAATAAACTGCTTTGATACTAGACTTTTCTTGTTTTAATGTCATTGTTTCAGCTTGAAAGTAGGAAATGATGAAAAAAGGCCATTTTAAGTAGCATGCACTGTTATTTATTTCATTCTTTATTTTTAGTCCACTCCATTTTTGGCTTTGCATGTATTTCTACTTGCGTGGTATTTTGTGTACCTTTATACTTTTTTAACTTTATGTTTTTAAGGAAATTGCTACTTATGTATTCTAGTTTTTCATTTTTTTTTTATTTCTTTTGTGGACATCTATTTTGAGCTTCTGATATCTCTTCATCATTTTAACATCCACAGCTGTAGTTATCCTCTGGTTTCCCTCACATGGCGCCAGATTCTTTTTCATTAGTGGACTCCTAGTCCAGTTTTATTTTTAGTTTAGTGATTTTTTTTCTTATTTTCTATCTGTTTGAGCTCTTTGTTACAGCAGGGATTATTTTTGTGTTCAATAAATCAATTTCCACATTATCTGACAGCTTGTGACAAGTGCAATATTGTTACTAAACTTTATTAATTTTTTTTATAACAGACAACTTTGTGTCTACAACAATGATTAAGTTCATGCAAAGTCAAACTTTTTTTTAATACATTTTATGCACTCAGCATAAAAATTTATTTCCAACAAGAACAAGCATATAGTTTGAAAATATTTAAAAGTGCACACAAATAATTAATAAAATAAACAAATAAAACAACTTTTGCATTTATTATTCTGCAGCATTAGCAGAACACTTAAAGTGCAAATACACAAACAATAAAAACTTAATCATATGTGTATGCAATAGAAGATTTTTAAACATTTTCTTAAAAAATAATTAGAACGGGGACTTCTCTCTGAACTAAAAGCAGTGCAGTCTATTTCACTGGTGCACAAATACAGAAAGCAGCTTCCCCTGGATTGGAAAAAGGTACAAGATATGCTAGAGTTACTACAGTCTGTAGACCTGAGTGATTTATTGAAGATCATTTAATGCTGTATACAAGTAATAAGAATGTAAAATTGTTTTTGCTTTCATTAGGTAGCCATGGCAGGAGTCTGAGAACATGTGTAGTACTGTGTTTAAACTTCCTAGTACCTGTGAGAATACATGCATACACAGCTGCATTTTGAATCAGCTGTATACAGCTGGTGTACAGCACATTTTGTAGGTCACATTTTGTAGGTCACATTTTGATACTAATTATTTAACTTTTGCAACTTTTTGTCTCTGAGCATTTAGCCCCAATAGGAATATTCCTGTTTTAAGTTTGTTCAGTTGTAAAAGGTTGTGTGTTATCCATACATTATTATTAAAAGTTTAGATAGATAGAGAGATAGATAGATAGATAGATAGATAGATAGATAGATAGATAGATAGATAGATAGATAGATAGATAGATAGATAGATAGATAGATAGACAGACAGACAGACAGACAGACAGACAGACAGACAGACAGACAGA